TGGATCTTATGCGGACGGAGAAAACGCCCTCCAGGAGGCCCTCAATAAAATACAAGTTTTAGTGACCGCAGCAGGGATGCAATGCTCGCCTGAAAAGACTGAAATCGTTATAATTCGGGTGAGATGCGCTAAGAAAACGGAATTCATACCAATAAAAGTACTGGTGGATGGACTATTAATCAGGAAGGCAGAAGTAATATGCATTATAGGAATGTGTATACAAGAAAATTACACTGCAAAGACTGCGGGGAACCACAAAGAATGTAGCCCGGATGATTAAGTGGATAACAAACAGCAAAGCGGGGCTAGAAGAGAAAGAGACAATTGCACTCATTCATGCATTTGATATCAGCAGAGTTTCGTACGCGCTGCCGCATCAGACAATGACAAAGCAGGAGAGAAGACAAATGAACACTTTCATAAGGAAAGCTTTCAAAACAGCATTGGGATTCCGGAATATGCCAAAGCAGAAAGGGTAAAAACGTTGGGCATATACAATACCTCGGAGGAGTATGATGATGCGGTGCTGTTAACTCCAATGGAAAGACTCAATTGAAGCTCTCACTGGTGAAGAATTCAGAAAAAGATGCGATTCACATTGCGCCCGCTTTTTTGTGACGAGAAAACTCCGATAATAGATGCAGAACAACGCTGATATTTAACTGGGGCGCCTACACTAAGGCAAAAGGGTGTTAAAAGGGTGTGTGGTTCGTCATTTTAGGGACTAATGGGGCTGCCACAACAATTAATTCCTTCAAGGACTAACGGCACCGGGTCTAACTGTTAGTTTCCTCAAGAGAATCCCGTTTAGTCCTCACATTTGCACCTTAGTGAGTAACTGTTAGTCCCAGAGTTCACCACAAAGGACTAACATTTAGTACTCACATTTGCACCTTATAGAACAACTGTTAATCCCCACATTTACACATTACCAGGTAACCGTTATTCCCCACTCTTGCACCTTGGCGGACAAACGGTTGATACACTCAAATACTCCAATCGGATGAACTTTTTGTCCCCAGTTCAAACATTGTTTTTTGTTTATTTTCCGCCAGGCCTAATACATTTTTCATCTGTTTTTCTGCGCAGCGAGAAACAAATTCCGCAGAAAAGAACACGCGAAAAAGTAGTTAGCCACCTATGTGCAACGGCTTTCACAGTCACGGCAACAACGAAAGACAAAAGTGAGACATCGAAATCTTTTATTTTTCTACATACACATGAAGTTTCCCCATTCTTTTAAGTGAATTCAAGGTGAAGTGTACAAGTCCAGTGTCGTTGTCAAATCTTGTTCACTCCCTGGGGAACTCCTCCGACGGAAGCGATAGATGGCAGGCATTGCAGACGCCAGTGCACGCAGCCTTCTGCCTGTCGTGTTCCCACGGCTGTACATACAATAATATAGTCAAAATAGTTGGGCACACGTCACAGAAGATGAAGATGCACGCATATGACAAGTACGTGCACGTTAATATAAAAACAAGCGTTAAAATATGCACACAAAGAAGTTTACCTTCACATCTCACACAGTCCTTCTGAAGCTGCTCTGAGGAAAGAGATGGATGACGGGCATCGCAGACGCCAGCGCTTACAGCCTTCAGCACGGTGTGTGCCCATGGCTGCACAATAAGTATGTGAAATAGTGAGTCACACGTGACAGAGGATGAATACAAATGCGCATGAGAAATACATGCAAGGTCAAATTAAAACATACGTGAGGTATGACATGCTAATAATTTCACCGTGATGTCACACATCGTCAAAGACTCATTTCGATCCCCGTGGCGCAGCAGCTTAGAAGCGGTCACAAGTCCGGGAACCACCGTGTCGCTAACCAGTCAGCGAGTCCTAAGCGAGCGACCTCGTTCCAGTTCGAGCAAGCAAACACGAGACCAAACAGGGCAGTGCACGCGGAGTGTCTGCCGCCAGCGAACTTCGAACAGGAGAGCGAGCGTACGCTTGGCCGCCGCCACGAACAGCGCCGAGCGGGTTTGCAGCTAGCGCCGAAGAAATCAACGGTAATGTGGCCCTTTTCCACAAACTCGAGTGAGTGCAGTGAGCAAACGCGAGTCCACCGCCGCGGCCAACGGACTGCGCCGAGCTGCTTGCGACCGACTGAGTGACGGGGAAGCCAACTGTAATGGCGACCAATTTTGAGTGAGTTCCGACGCTAACGAAAGCCCCGCCAGTCCGTGCTGGTGCACTTACAGCGCGCGACATACTACAACCAAGCTCTTTACGAGAACCCGCAACGTGTTTTCGACGAATCCCAACACAGCGACGAGGTCTCAGCCCACTATCGTCAGCACGGAGCTCATCGCGGCAGCGATGACAGGCGAGCACTCGATGAGCGAGCGTACGGGAGGCCGACGGCACTGGCGGTCAATTCCTAGGTGGTCGCAAAGCACAGGTGAACTGCGCACACCGAAGCTGACCTTCGCGATGCTTTTCGTGCGTGCGATATACAACAAGACCAAGCCCGTTGCCGGCAAGCACGATCCGTATCGCACGCGCTACAAGTAGAGTAGAATAAAGAATGAAGACCTACTTGCCTTAAAATCCAGCGCTGTTTTCTGCCCTGAGTCGGACTGACGTATATATCTGATAAGCCTGCTCTTCTCGGCCGCCATATTGGCCTTCCCAACTGTTGCTGCGGTGTGTTGGTCGTGCCTATCTTGAAGCCAGAGATATACAGCGCGGCGTGGTGGCCTGTCGAGGCTTGCTACAGACTTCATGGGTGCAGCAAAACACTAAAGCAGCAGCCCACGCTCATCCAGGCGTACACACAAGCACCATGTCGTAATTCTTAGATCGTCGAATCCAGGCAGCCGTGGTCGAGCACTCCGAGCGCGACGCTACGCAACCGCCGCCGGCAAAATACGGGGAAAGACTGAGCCAGCAGAGAAGGAGAAAGACATGTGTTCTGTAGAGAAGGAGGGTTAGTCACCTTGGCAACGCTTTTTGTGCTGCCTGGATTGCCCAGGCGGTTCATCCCTAGTGAAGACTAAGTGGTTTCGCGCCACACGCTCCCCTCTGTAGTTGCTCCTCAACGGTCTATCCGTTCATTACGCGTGTCTATCGGGCTCCATTACTCCCCTTTCGGGTAATTTTGCCTTAGAGTGTATCCCCAGAAATATGCGTCCGGCATACCACGCAAGAAGGATGAAAGCAAGAGCAAACTCCTTGCACCAATGATTTAAACGTAGACCTGAAGCCGTCTGTAGAGACGCCAGTAAAGCGAGTAGAGGTACACGTGTTGTGGCAATCGTAACATCAAATCACACCATAACGGCGACGGTAAAAACACGTTTCATGACAGTGGCAGAGGTGGCAGCAATATCCATAGCCGTATCTAACGCTGAAAGCAGGAAAGAATCAGTGCTGGTGCTCTCTGATTCGCAGGCGGCGTGCTGAGTGTTTCTCTGAGGTACGCTAGCAAAACTAATGTGTAAAATTTCAAACAGGACATCGTTACATTATAAGGCGTCCTGTTCTCGAAGGTCTGGAGAGTAACGTCATGGGAGACCGCATAGCTCGAGGCTTCACCAACCGAGCGATGGCAGGCACTGACGTTGAACCCGTTTCGAGTCCACAAGACATCCTTCTTCAACAAAAAGGGAGCAACCAATAGAGTATGACCTTCCGCATAAATACTTGGATAGCCGACAATGCAGAGATTGGTGACCCATACAAACCAATAGCTTTCCAAATTTTTATCACCTGAGTAGAATATATCCCAAGCAATTTACAGAAACATGTCCATGGTTTTCAGACACATCGACTTTCAGCCACATAACACCGGAGTGCTCTAAAAGGCCCACACACATCGACAGTCCACACGTTACTACCCACCCACACATGTTACACAGGCAGTGGGAGGCATGGCATGCGGGTGAAGCCAAGCAGAGCCAAATAGCGTTGCTTGTACCAGGCCCAGCGATACACTCGCGCCAGCGGAGTCCTGGACTGAGGATCCGACCACAACTGCCTGCATTACCTCCTTTTCCTGAATAAAGTTTTTTTTCCTCCTTATTCCATTATACCCCTCAGAGATATAAGTATTACAGATGGGGAGTGGTAACAACACTTTGTCACAAAAAAAAAACGAGAAAAACACAGTAAAACAAAAAAGTAAAATGAAACGCATATAAAAGAATAGAGCGAAATGTGAACAGTGTGTTTAAAAAAAGTCTGAGTATACAATGTTAGATACAGAATAGCAGAACTCTTCATGATGAAGGATGTTCACAATATCCGCGGGAAGGCCATTCCAACCATTGGAGGTTCGTGGTTGAAATGAATGATAAAAATGCGCAGTGTTACATGAAGCAAGTTCGACGTCATATAGCATGTTTGTGCAATAGAATACATGTGACGATGGTCTGCTTCTAAGATCAATAACAAGAAAGAGTAATTGAAATATACACGATGTTGTAACTGAAAAATTATTCGACCATTTTACAGACTTACCAGAAAATGTAATTGGCAGCAAACACTGCATTTCATGTAACGCGTTACGCATAACTCTGCTTTTATGTTAGCGATCATATTGTCTTGAATATGATCGTTAGCTCACTGCCAAAACATTGACAGAAATCTTAACAGAGCAATGTGCCTAGTCGGTGAGCTGCTCAAGTTGCATGCCCAAGTTCCATTCACAATATTCACTAGTCCTTTTCGCAACTGTGCTGGTGTGCCAAAGTGCGTGCTATGATGTGCACGCATGCTCACTTTATATTGCGCTGCAAGCTACAAAGCTTTTCCTTTCTGCGCAAAATATTGTGAGACCTCGGGATGTGCATGCACCTCAGGTTGCCAACTTCGGAGTAAGCACACATGACTGTCTGATTCTCGCACGTGCTTGGTTTCTTTCTTGCTATTCATTAGCAGGCAAGAGGCCACAACTTGTGAAATTGAATGCGCGGTGATGTTTCGAAAGCAACCGTGAGGCAGCTTCATGCACTATGGTGAGCAACACGGTATCTTTGTCTGTTTTCTAGGGCGCTGAAGAATGATACGGGCGTCCGAGGCTGTGCTGCTGAGTACGGTAACGGCAGTTGCGACTCTAACCCATGGAAACAACCGGTGAATGCCTTGGTGGAGAGCCTTTGCAGCGAGGAAAGCCTGCGTGAGTGGGCGTGCTCAAAAATGTGTTGGCTTCTTGAAAGGGTACAGCAAATGTACATAAGGCATGGGTGCTCCGATACAGACATGTCTCACGGAGTAATGCCGCTTACACACGTGCTTACTTACACTGTCGTTTATTCAAAAGTAAATAAGACGATGAGCCTCCGCTGTGGTCAACTAATTCAGCCTGTGATGATCTGGGGCCGAATTCACAAAGCTTTCTCTTTGCTAGGCATTTTCTTAGCCAAGAATTTTCTTATCTAGAGGGATTACTATAGCGCGGGTACGAATTTAACTTATTCGGCACATAAGAGGGCGAGGAGAACAAACAATAGCCGATGAAACAAGAAGGAAGGAAAGAAGTGTGTGCCGATAATATCAAGGTAGCACGCAAAGCGTCTAGCTTCGAGAGTATACGATGATAGCCAATTGTTTGCTGCATCTCAGTTTCATCTCTATGGGCGTCTGCTACAGCGCTTACGCGATGCCGCGTTGAGATAGATGCCTGGGTGTGCGGTGCAAAGTCAAGCGCTCGCGCTTCATCATTGACCGTAGCTAAAAAGAAAATTGCTCGATGGCCTTAAGCAATAATCCATGTTCTATCTCGCCACGTACAAGTAAACAACACTCCAGGTACACCACATCAATGAAACCACGCATAAATGTATGCATTAAATGTTTGAAAATGTGCCCTAAATGTCTTCCCCTGTTTGACGTGACCAGTTACATTATAATTTAATGAAGCTGCGCTGCTACTGAACTAATCCGGTTTAATCGAACATGGTAGAGTGGTGAACGTTAGGGTCCTTTGTACCTAGACGTAAAATGTTGCCTTTCTTACAATATTCTTATTACGAGACACAGCAGTGACTTTTGTGCCTGCGGAAGAATTCTGCAGAAATGTAGAACAGCAGTAATCAAATGAAATTGTGAGCGGAATTTCGCAGGTTTCATGCACTGCAGCATTTTTATAAAGCCGGGATGCGAGAACGTGCATACGCTTACGCTTAGATATGTGTCTTCGTAAAACGAGGGAGACTCGTCCGGAGGTGTTTGAGTGCTAATGCTTTTCATAAAACACGGTGCAAATATTTCGTCCAGCGTTGTTGGAGCAAACAAAGCAAGGGACGTGTATACGAGTCTTGAAGTCGAGAGACGTTATCACACGTGCAAAAAGGACGAAAAAAAGGGAGAGAGAGAAAGATTCTCGCTTCGTCTCCGCTGAAAGCTTGAAATTGATAGGTAATAAAGACCATTTTCTGACCCAGCAGACGCCAAGGAATGTTTTCGGAAAGCAGCGTCGGATGCTTGGAGAGCGTAAAAAAGTGGAGTACGTGTTTTATGGGAGTGACAGCCACACAGAAATCGAGATGAAGTGTGACTGTCTTTAGATGTGAGAATCAATGCTTAGGAGAGTTGTGAGTTGATGAGCGAAATCTTCTTTAAATAACTATAGTGGAAACAAACTGAGTATTCATCTAGTGAATGTGACACTAGTGACAGTGAATTCATAATGGTTAATTAGCATTGTCACAGGCCGATATATTTTCATTTTTTATTATTATTTGGCAAACTATAAGAAGGTAGCGTACGTTAGAGCAGGCTATCCCAACATCATGACAGTAGTGTACAATTTAAATAGTGCATGATTATACAGCCACACGTGGCGGGTTCTATCTTCAAGTTACCTTGGACAAACGCATTCTAGCTTTTTTTTTTCTATTTTTGATCGCGTTTCACCAGACGTTTTTGCATTTAGAGCCATTATAAGCATTGACGATATATGAGCAATAGGGTGAAAGCAAGCACTGCTGCAGTAGACGAGTGGTTACAGCACTGAGCTACGAACTAGGAGGCACTGGGTTCGACCCGCAGTGTCTCCGAGCACTCTTTTTTATTAATAGGTTGCCCGGACTAAGAAAATGCGTGGTGGCGAGTACTAATTTTTTGAGAAGGCTGGCTTTCACGCTCTCTTCTTTCACTCACTTTTTGAACCAAAAGCGCTGTGCTGTGCGCCTTCATAAATTACATACTTCAGTGTTCATAATTTTCCCCTTCATCCTTTCTTATCGCAAAAGTGCCCAGTGCTGAAATACCAATATCATACCTGATATATTACTTTTCACGTGTTTGGATATTGGACCAGCAATCAGTCGTCACGGTGTTTTGAAGAAAATCTAGACATGCAGCAAGCTAAATGCTTGCGGCCAAGTTGATGCCTTTGTCGAGACATGTTATCGTGCTAACTTGGTGGGAATCATTACGTGCAGCGAGGCCAAAGAGCACGGACAGTTAGAGAAGACACAAACAGAGTGATTAGTTTGTGTCTTCTATCCCGCTATCATTCATGCTTCGCGCTTCAGTGTAATGTTACTCTCAATGGTTAAAATGAACTATAGAGTTTTATTTATTTATTTATTTTCAATACTGCCAGTCTCACTTGGAGACCAAAGCAGGTGGGCATACAGATAACAACGTGAGTGCAACAGAATACACGCAGTGCACAGTACAATGGCATGTCATACAAAGAAGTGTTCTCTCTAATACAACATTAGTATATACAACGGAAGAATCAAGGTTAATACAATCCAATGGGACACAAAGAAGCCATTAAAAAAAGAATTTGCATGAATATGAAACCTTTTCCTTTCCCTTTTCATGGTTGGGGCTTATTTCCTATCGCGTCACAAAATATTGATGATGATTCTATGGCAGCTACTGTTGGGTCGAGGTTGTTCCACTCCCTAACTGCTGTAGGAAAAAATGAGTATTTAAACGTGATGGAGTTGCAAAAGTATTCAGTTAACATTTTATCGTGTTTATTACGCGATATCCGGGATCTAGAGAAGGTGATATATTTGGAAGAAATTATGTTGAAGTGGTTGTGCAGAAGGCTATGCATGAATTTTAACCGAGCTTGTCTTGCTCTGCCTGCCAGTGTGTCTAAACCGGAGCACTCTTAATTAAGTTAATCGAGTTTTGTTGAGAGGGTCCCCTATTGGCCAGAGCGGAACAGAACAATGGCGATTTGGTTTGTGTCGTAGAGAGATACTCTTCTTTTGGTTACTACAACAAATTTTTAAACTAAAGTTTATTTTTTATTAACAACAGCTCCAGTACAGATGAAATGTGCATGGACAAAATTTGTGTATTCAGCTTGACTAGGTTTGTGACCTTATAGTAATTACCAACCGGTATTCTAAGATGCATAAATATCACACACATATACAATCACGGGTGATAGCTTGTTTATTATGATTAAAATTGATGTGTTGAAATTTGACATATTCGACCAACGCATTGTGTGCAATATATGCCGTGTAGAGTAGCTATGCTCTAAACTAATCTTCACTGGTTGGTTCTATTTACCCAATTTGTAGCTCATGACTGTACTTTGGCAAATGAAACAACTTCTTTGAAAGCACATATTTTGTGTAAGGTTACATTTACTTTTAAGCAGTAAAAATAAATTGAAATATATAATGGCTCAGAAGAAAAAGAACTAGAAGCGAATTCAGCCAAATCATTACCAAACTTACTCGTCATTGATAAACAGATTATCATTTAAACGATACATACATACATACATACATACACACACACACTGAGGTGTAAATATTAAAATGAATGACTATAAAACAACAATTTAATACACTCATTTTGAATATACAGAAAGTAACTTACGAGAGAAATTCGCCAGCACTGTTCTGTCTTGGCATAGCAAAGGCAGAACAGTGCGTTCACAATGCATTTTGTGTGTTTTGCCTTCAAAAAAGAAAAATGCAAAGTGGAACTGGCCTCCAGTGTTTTTGTGTTCTCTGAGCATTTTCTGTTCTTCGCCTTCAAAGAGAGGAGGGTGCAACGGGCAGTCAACAGGTCAACTCTCAGCGCTATCTATAGTGCCTGAAAGTGTTGCAGAACGTAATGACTGTCACTGGTGGCACAGCCACAAGATGATAGTTGCGGCTGAGTTCACTATTCACTTTTATTCTTTGCGGGAGCTTCATGTTCGCATGATTTTTTATACGAATGCATTTTTGCCGAGTCCGCCATGGCTCCACTGACGTACTTTTGTCACGGATCATTATCATTATCATTAGCCTGTCAGCGCGCACTTCAGGACAAAGGCATCTCCAAGTTTCACCAGTAAACTTGGTGATGTGGTTGCTACTGCGACTTAATATCCGCAAACTTCATACTCTCATCCGACCGCCTAACTTGCTAGTTTCCCCCTCATCCGCTTACTTTCTCTGGAAGTCCAGACAGTTACCCTTAATGACCAGCAGTTATCCTGCCCACGCGCTACGTCCCACGTCTACATTTCGGTAGACGAAGAAAGTGCTTAACAGCGCAAACGACATGAGGACATAGAAGAGACGAGAACATAGCGCTGAACTAACACCTTCTCAGGATCGGGCGTTTAGCCCGATCCTCAGCAGCATGTCGCCATGGCCACATTTCAAGCTTCGACAGACAAAAAAGGCGTTCGACGATTTCTGGGCTCTGCGCATATTGTTACGGAAAAGATGAGACGCCATATCGACGAGGCTGTGGATTAGATGTATTTAAAACCAGTGGTAATGGCGTGACTGGTTCACAAGTGATCCAGCAGAGACCACCCTTCGTCTTTCTCGTCAGTCACACACGCGCGTCGCCACCTATAATGTCAATATGCATGCATGTAGCATAACCCTCGGCGGCACAAGCGCCGTCTCGGCACATCTAAATGTTGACGTCACTAGTAGAGTGGGAGGGCTTGAAGCACCCAACATGTGCAATATCGGTAGCCTGTTGTGCACATGAAGGTGATGGGGTGGCAGGACCATTTTCATACATTACAGGAGTAACAACACGAAGGACTCGGTATGAACCTGTGTAGCGAGTAAGCAGTTTCTCTGTTAAGCCAACATTACGGGTCGGAGACCAGAGCAGGACCAAAGAATCGGGCTGAAAGTGTGCGTCGTGGTGTCGTTGGTCATACAAACGCGCGTCTTCTCTTGA